CAAATTTTCAATTGAAAATTGAGTTGCAAAGAAAATGTTTACATATATATATATATATAATTCAAAAATTGAATTGTATTTGATTTATAGTTTGTTTACATTACACAATCAAACAGGAAGGATACATGGTTCACCGGAAGAAATCAGCATCTCCAACACCACTGGAGCGCCTAAAAAGCCGAGTGATCTTCCACGACGGGCGACTGGTGCAATCTCCAACCCCACTCAACGCCCTGATGATCTACATGTGGCTTCCATTCGGGTTCATCCTCTCGCTCATCCGAGTCTACTTGAACATCCCACTCCCGGAACGCATCGTCCGCCACACCTACAAAATGCTGGGCATCAACCTTGTCATCCGCGGCACTCCTCCTCCTCCCCCCTCCCCCGGCTCCCCCGGCAACCTCTACGTCTGCAACCACCGCACCGCCCTCGACCCCATCATCATCGCCATCGCTCTCCGCCGCAAAGTCTCCTGCGTCACTTACAGCGTCTCCCGCCTCTCCCGCTTCCTCTCCCCCATCCCCGCCGTTGCATTAACCCGTGATCGCGAAGCCGACGCTGCCAGAATCAAATCTCTTCTCCAGAAAGGTGACTTAGTGGTTTGCCCCGAAGGGACTACTTGTCGTGAACCTTACTTACTGCGCTTTAGTGCTTTGTTTGCGGAGCTCAGTGATAGGATTGTGCCCGTCGCAATGAACACCAAGCAGACTATGTTTCATGGGACTACGGTCAGGGGGGTCAAGTTTTGGGACCCCTATTTTTACTTCATGAATCCCAGGCCCACTTATGAGGTCACTTTTTTGGACAGGTTGCCCGAGGAGATGACCTGTAAGGCCGGAGGGAAGTCCCCTATAGAGGTGGCCAATCATGTGCAGAAGGTGTTGGGTGGGGTGCTAGGGTTTGAGTCTACTCAGTTGACTAGGAAGGATAAGTATTTGCTGTTGGGTGGGAATGATGGGAAGGTTGAATCCATGAAAAAATGAAAAAAGTTGTTGGGTGTTGGGCTTATTAATCACAGGTTTGTGTGATGTGTGGAGGGGTTGGAAGAGAATGATTTGATTAGATTATTAGATCATATCCTTTAGTCATTTTGGTCGGGTGGGTTAAAAGTGTCAGGCTTATATATTTGTTTTGTGAAGCTTTTGTTTAGAATTCTCATAATGTCAAATTGCTTAATTGATTAAATAAGTCTAGATTGAATATAATGCATGGATATAATCTTTTACCAGTGGACTTTTGTATGTAAAATTTGATTTTGTGTGCGGGGATAGGGGTGAATATTCAATATTTATGGAGTATAGGTATGTGATATTTTATAAGATTTTGATTGATAGAGAGGGATAAGAATTCACGATTTATATTGAGAATGTGAGAACAACATAGAGGTAAATAATTGGTGATTGATTTGGAGTATAGCCATATGATATTTCAAAATTATTGAATAATTTTCCGCGGGAATAGATTGTGGTATACACTCAAAATGTGTGTTATATGCATTTTATAATGTTATACACTTTCTAAGTCCTATTTTAAAAAAAATTATAATTAAACACCACATGATGCATAATTAAAAATCTTATGAGTCATAATTAAAGAAGAAAATTGGTCAAAATTAAAGAAGAAAATAACATAACTAAGAATGCATATGGTAAGAATATGTATAGTATGTGTATGTTTTTTTTCTTCTTTTTTAATTTGATTTTTATATTTGTGAGATTTGCTTTTCAATTTTTTATAAAAGATGTATTAAAAAATAAAGAAATAATATGACAATTTATAATAAATAAGCAAATAATTTACTGATTTAAGTCTCGTTTGGCAAGTGCTTGTCCTAGTTTAAAAGTCAAAAAATTATTAAAAAAATTAAAAAGCCTATAATTTATATAAAAAAAGTCAAAGATTTATTTTTCTCTTTATTTTTTGTATATCTTTTTATAAAAAATAAAAAATTCATTCTAAACATATTAGTTTTTTTTTTATCTTATATTTTAACAAAAAAATAAAAAAATTATTAAAATAACCTATTCCAAACGAGATCTAGTTTGTCTCAAATCACCCATTCATGGGATAAAAAATCAAATGAGATGGCCTTGTTTGGAAAGTTGGCTATTTTAGTAGGTTATTTTAGTTTTTGACTATTTTAGTAAGTTAAAATTTTTGTGTTTGAGAAGATTGTTGAATTTTTTTAGTTGGATGTAATGTTTGTGAAAGAAAAAGTGAAATGATTATGAATTTGATATGATATTTTGTCTTATTAACTATTTTAACCTATTTAATCTTTTTGTGAATTTTAACCTAAAATAGGCTAAAATTGCCCTTGCCAAACAAGGCCTTAACACGGGCCTTTCTGAGGGCAGCATACCCTCATTTAAAAGGAGCTTTGGAGGGCTTTCCTTCTACACAAATTTTGGAGGAAGCGTCTCTTGATATTTTTGTATTTGTCATGTTATCTTAATTTGTATTATTAGGCCTGATTTGGGTGTTTCAAAGAATTCAAAAAGTCAAAAAATTATAAAAAAAAAAGTAAAAAAGTTATCATTATTTACAAATTAAAAATATAAAAAAATTAATATCCATAATATTTTAATCAAACCAACTTTACACAGTTTTCAGGATTGATTTGACCCCTTTTAGTACTGTGACAAGGAAAAAAAAAATTACATATATAAAATCACTAAGTTGGACGGTAATGTTGGGCCTGTGGGGGCCACCACGGGTTCCGTTTTGATAATCCGAACCGTGCAATGTGTATAACTTGTCCAGAACTATACGTCTGTAAAAAATCACGTTGATCGGATATAGCTAACTACATGATTAAATCAGTTTTGTATAAAAAATGGATGGTGTTATAGTTAAAAGTTGACAAAAAACTAACAAGATTAGATAGCTATCGATATCCAATCAATGTGATTTTTTACAAGAATATAGCACTCGACGATTTCTACACATTGAACGGTTTCGATTAGCAAAACGGGACCTGTGGTGGACCCCCATAGGCCGAACAACACTGTCCAATTCAACCCCAAAAAGGAGGCAATCATTTCTCATCTCCTAACCAACCCACTACCCTGCCAACCTGCATGCGTACTCCACTAACTTCTCCTACACACTTATTTATACAATTTTTTAATGCACATTTTTTTGTAAAAAGTCAAAAAGTTAATCCAAATATCCATCGTTTTTTCCTCAACTTTTTAATTCAAAAAGACAAAAAGTACACTTATTTAGGACACTCCAAACAACCAATTGACAGAGAGAGACAAAAAATAAAAAGATAATTGAGAGAGAAAATTATTTTTGTATGGACACTTTTTCATAAATTTCTTTTCATATATTTATATTCTATTTAGTCGATATTATTTTTTAATATTTCAATAAGGCCCATGAGTGAATTATCAAAATATTTCTAATAATATTCACGTTTACAGTGTGAATGTTTCGTGATGTGAATGTTTCACACCGTCAATGTGAATATTCATACCATCAATGTAAATGTTTACACTGTCAATGTGAACATTCACATATCAATGCGAATATTTACATTGTAAAATATAAAAGTTCACATCACTAAATTACTAACCGTTTGAAAAATATTTGTAAGGGTAAAAATGTCCATAAAATACTTTGAATATGAGAATTAGAATTTGGTAGATCAAATGCTCAAATAATAAGACTTATTGGAATAGAAGAATATCTTATGAACTAATTGAGATACAAACACATAAAAAAAAAAAAATTCTAATAAATATCCCTTTTTGTATCTTATAATTATTTTATCATAATGAAAACCACAGCCATAAATATAATTCTATTTTTGGAATAAATCACTACTATTATTGTTACCCAAAAGACAACTTAAGAGGGGGTGAATTAGGATTTTACAATTAAAATTAATAATACCCTAATAAAAATTATAACTAGCACAATAGATAAATATAATTAATGAAATAAAAATAATTAAAACAAGTGTCTTAACAACTACGTCAGTTAATGATTTTAGTACAGTAAAAATGTGAAAATATAGTTATGGCAATTTAAAATAAAATAAAGAGATAAGGGAAAGAGAGACAAACAAATTTATAGTGGTTCGGCTTCAATTTGGCCTACATCCACTCCTCAAGCTTCACTTGAGACATTTCACTATCTTCTAGCTTCACAGGGATGCTAGCAACCGCTTTTCAAATGGAGCAATCCTCCACGGATTTTACATAGACTTCACAAGCCCAAACCCTTGCAAATCTTAAGTGATTCACAATCACTTTCAAGATTTCAAGAACACAGTATTTGCAACACTTTTACAAGATGAAATAATATTTTTGCTTTCAAAGGAAGCTTACAATAAATATCTCTCAAAGATAGATATATAAAATGAAACTTTGATTTTTCTGTAAATCTCACACAGGAAAGATGAGCTTAAAGCTATAAGGCTTAGTGTATAATTTATGAGAATAGATGTGAGTGATTACAGATCAAAAAATATTTTCAGGTTTTTTGTTGTAACTTGTTTACATTAGAGGTTTTGGTATATATAATGAAAATTATAATTGTTTATAGTAGGAATTGCAACGGGGCGGGGCGGGGCGGGGCCGGGGATCCCCCTCCCCGTCCCCGATCCCCGACGGGGAACCTATTACCATCTCTGTCCCCGCCTCCTAACGGGGATCGAGCCTGACCCCAAAAATTCCCCGGCCAAAAAAAAATATATATATTCCAGTTGCAGATCCACACATCACAACCAACTAAATTACACTGGAAAAAAAAAAAAAAAAAATACAGTAGCAACAACATCCTCAACATCAACATCATCAACAACATCAGTGAGGTGAACCCTGATTCCCTTATGAAAATCAATTGATGTGCAAATATCAAACTCCTATGAAAAATGTTCAAGTTAACATAAAACTAAATATTGATAATGCCATTTGTAAGGAAAATATTAGGTGATATTGTGGGTTATAGAGTTCATTTTAGTTTATAAATCATTGTAGATTGTTTTATGTAATGTACCTAAAATATCTACTAAACAATTAGATAAATTCCTCAATATGTTTTGAATTAAAGACTGGAGAATTGAATTCATAGTTTATACTGCTGTACCAAACTAATTAAACTAAAGCACCATATACAACCATGAATTTTTTTTTGGTTGAGCACACAAATCTAAGTAGAGAGAGAGATCTAAGTAGAGAGAGAGAGATCTATTTGCTCAGATCTGGCGTGGCAGAGGGAACATCGTCATCATCGGAGGTCTCGGAGGAGAAGGAGGTGCCGCTCGTCGTCGTCGTCGTCGGAGGGTCTGATTCGGTGGTCTCTCTCTCTCTCTTTGCTCTCTGCTTTGTCGTCGTCGTCGTTGGAGGAGGGTCTGATTCGTCGTCTCTGTTTCACCCATCTGCACGTCCGCTATTGATCTTCATCACAAGAACTACACAGCAGAGAGAGAGAGGGAGAGAGGCTGAGAGTGTGATGTGAGTGAGAGAGGTTGAGATAAGTGACAAAATAACCCTAACCTAAACATATAATATATATATATATACGGGACTGGGGAACCTATCCCCGTCCCCGGCCCGAAAATCATCGGGGATTTAATTTTCTCTATCATCCCTGGCCCTATGAAGATAATTTTCGGGGAAAACTCGTTCCAATTGGGGTCGGGGGGTCGGGCCCCCATCGGGCCGGGTTTAAATTGCCATCCATAGTTTATAGCCGTTATATTCATTTGAATTTATAGCCATTTATAGCCGTTGTACTTCCATCATTACCAATTTGAATATCTTCCACTCCATCATTACAAATTTGAATATCTTCCACTTGAACCTTTTGAATCTTTATAGCTGTTGTACTTTCATCATTATTAATTTGAATATCTTACTTGAACCTTTTGGCCTTTTGAACCTTTATAGCCGTTTATAACCGTTGTACTTCCATCATTATTAATTTGAATATCTTTCACTTGAACCTTTTGAACCTTTTGGCCTGCTGTTGTGCTAGGTTGTTTGAACCTTTATTTTGGACTGTTTGAACTTCTGATTTAATCAAATATTAAATACATTCTAACAACATTTAGGATAAAGGTTTAGGTGAGAAATAATGGGATAAAATAAATTTTGATTCTATTTTTCTCTTTCCAATAAATCATCAAAATAAATTTTGATTAAAATATAATTAAATAAATCATCAAAATAAATTTTAAATTTTATTTTTCTCTTTTAAATAAATTAAAATATAATT